AAAATTTCCTAGTGTCCCTATCTCCTATTATTCATTTCTCTTTCTAGCTACAGAACATGGTATTCTGCGATGACAAGCAAAACTGTTAGGAAAAAAAATAACCCTTTACCCTACTTCAGCAGCACATTCTCACTGTCACACTCCGGGCCATGTGTCCACAATCCCCTGCCCTTTCGCTTCGCTGTACTGACCGCTCCCAGTCAGGTCTTTGATTCCCTTGGGTCCACTCTTCCATATACTGTTTGCTATTCATTGACTAACCCACACATGTCAAACACAAGGCCCGCGGGCCAAATCCGTCCCGCCAGGCCTTGCAATGTGGCCCGCACCGCGCTGTCATCACTGCACTCCGCTGGGTTCCATCACAATGACAGTTTATGACTGTTCAGTAAACCATTCGGCCCGCGATTTAGGCTGGATTTTAGATTTTGGCCCCTTCTCTGATTGAGTTTGACACCCCTAGACTAACCCATTGCTCTTTCCTTTAGTCACTTTTACTCTACCAGGCAACAGTCCATGAGCCACCATAATAATACCAGGGACCCAGTGCACAAATTCGTGCACCTTGAAAGGAACTGTGGGCTGCAAGGCTGCAGTGGACACAGGGGCGGGTCTTGGTCCATCTTCTGCGTCCCCACCCAGCTCCTCCCACTGAGGCCCCTAGTCTCGTCTGCCAGCAGCCCTGCTGCTTCCATGCACTGACGGTGCCAACCCCACTTGCACCTGCTGATGGTTCGGAGCATTTGGGGCCGGTGCTGTCAGCAGGTGGGAGCAGCAGCTGCTGCCCACATCGCCCCTCAGGAGGAGGAGGAGGAGGAGGTGAAGTAGCCCTCAGGGGCAATTGGGGCTGGCCGGCAGCCACCACTCATACCCGCTGACGGCACCAAGTGATCAGGGCTGGTGCTGGCAGCAGGTGTGCCCAGTGGGACCCCGACGCATGGGAGCAAAGAATTTCCAGTAACTACCAGAGGCTCGCCCTGATGACAGCGACCGGCTCCCCACCCTGGTCTGGCGCCCCCACTCACCTGCTCCACCATCCTGCCGCTGCCAATGTCCGCCATGTTTCGCACTCTGCCGCCTACTGCTGACCCCCCCCCCCCCCCCATGTTCCCCATGCACCTCCTAGCAATTGGCTCTTTGGTTGTTCCACCATTCAGTATACTTGCATTTTAGGGTTTTATATATATACTGGACACACGGTGCATGAAATTCGTGCACGGTGTGTGTGTCCCTCAGCCCAGCCTGCACCCTCTCCAATCTGGGATCCCTCTCACAATCCAGGACTGTTGGCTCCCAATAGCTGGTCTGCCTGCCTTCCTGATAGCCACTAACTGCTTCTGCCTGCCAGCCTGATCACCCCCTAACCACTCCCCTGCCAGCCTGTTTGCCCCTAACTGTCCTCCCCCCTGCAGGCCTGGTCACCCCTAACTACCCTCCCCTGTAGGCCTGTTCCCCCCCTCCCCCAACTGTTCTCCCCTATAGGCCTGGGTCCCCCCCCCAACTGCCCTCCCTTGCAGCCAGGTCCCCCCCGCCCCCGCCAACTGCCCTTTCCTGCAGACCTGGTTGCCCCCAATTACCCTCCTCTGCCAGCTCAGTCACCCCTAACTGCCCTTCTCTGCAAGCCTGATTGCCCCCAACTGCACTCCCTTGCAGGCCTGATCCCTCCCTACTGCCCTCCCCTGCTGGTCTGATTGCCTACAACTGCCCTCTCTTGCAGGCCTGGGTCCCCCGATACTGCCCTCCCCTGCTGGCCATCTGTGTCCACATGGGGGCAGCAATCTTTTTAAAAAAATATATTTTATTGATTTTTTTACAGAAAGGCAAGGGAAAGTATAAACATTAATGAGAGAGAAACATCGATCAGCTGTCTCCTGCACACCCCCTACTGGGGATGCGCCCACAACCAAGGTACATGCCCTTGACCGGAATCAAACCTGGGAACTTTTAGTCCGCAGGTCAATGCTCTATCCACTGAGCCAAACCGGTTTCAGCGGAGGTAGCAATCTTTGACCACATGGGGGCAGCCATCATATGTGTTGGATTGATGATCAATTTGCATATTACTCTTTCTGCACTGGATGGGAGGTTCCCTCAACCAGGCTGCACCCTCTTGCAATTTGTGCCTGCTGGCTCCTAACTGCTCACCTGCCTGCCTGCCTGATTGTCCCTAACCCCTCTGTCTGCCTGATTGCCCCTAACCTCTCTGACTGCCGAATCACCCCTAACTGCCTCTGCCTGGTTGCCTGATCACCCCCAACTGTTCTCTCCTACTGGCCTGATCCCCCTAACTGCTCTCCCCCGCTGGCCTGATTTCCCCTAACTACCTCTGCCTCAGCCCCGCCACCATGGCTTTGTCCAGAAGATCTCCTGGTCAAATTATTACTCTTTTATTAGTATAGACAGATTTTGACCAATACCCTAAATTCCTTTGCTCCACTGTCATTTTGTCCCAGGTAGCTGGCAAACACCAAACCTGAATGAGCCTTCTACTGGCTTTCACCACAACCTAATACCAAGTAGCTGAGCACTCTGGAGAAGGCAAACAGGCAGATGTGTTATCACATTGGTTGACCACCAACTTCTCTGAGGCTCCCACACTGCTAGGCAATCCTACAATGTCACTGGATGGTGGGCTCTCTCTGCAACTCTCCACTTATTCCAAACATTTCAGCTTACTTCAAACCTTGGACTTCTATTCCTCCCATCTCCATAGCAACTCATAGCAGAAGGCTTAGCCTACTAGCTGTACTCATCCTATCCTTGCTTTCTCTTGAATATAACAGAGGAGCTATATACCCTTTCCCAGTGCTTTGAGTACTGCCCTTTTCCATCTTCTCAGGAATGGTATGCTGTTACTTATCTTTCTTCTCCTGTACAGATAATAGTTCCTTCTCAACTACATAGCTTTCTCTTGGATTATTTAGTCTACTAGTGGCCTGGTGCATGAAATTTGTGCAAGGGGGAGGGAGGTGTGTGTCTCTCAGCCCGGCCTGCACCCTCTCCAATCTGGGACTCCTTGAAGGATGCCCAATTGCTGGTTTAGGCCCAATTCCTGGATCAGGCCTAAACTGGCAGGACATCCCTCTCACAATCTGGGACCTCTGGCTCCCAACCACTCACCTGCCTGCCTACCTGCCTGATTGTCCCTAATCACTCTGCATGCCTGCCTGTTCAACCTCAACTGTCCTGTGTCTCCTCCCTCCCCCTCTGGCCTGCTCACCCCCAACTGCCCTCCCCTGCCAGCTTGATCGCTCCTAACTGCCTCTGCCTCTGCCCTACCACCATGGCTTTGTCCGAAGGACATCCTGAAAGTCTCCTGGTCTAATTAGCATATTACCCTTTTATTAGTATAAATTGAAATTCCACCTGGAACTTCTTTGCAAGGAGGATCTTTTTTGCTAAAACAGTGAAACTTCTTTACCCTTAAAAACATAAAGCCCCCAAAAAAGTCTCATAAAAGGAGTCCTGCATATACAATTAGGGCATAAACAGAAACAGGTGATAAACTGACGTCACACATATAACTGTGCAAACTAGTAATGCTGATGTTGCCAACATTTTCAGAGGGGAAAAAAAAACTCATAGAAAATTTACAAATTTTTACAAACTGACATGTAACAGTGGGTATGTTTAAGGTGTACAATGTATTGATTTCATATTTACCTACTGCAACAGGATCACCACCTGGCATTAGCTAACATTTCTATCACCTCACATAACATATAGTACACTTTACAACTGAGAGCTGTGCCAAAACTGTATGGGCAGGAAGGGGAGCAGTGTTATTTGGACAGCCAGTAAGCCTGACAGCATGATTTTATGTGACTGGGTCTAGAAGAGGGAGGAAAGGGTGGGAGGAGTAAGCAACAAATGTCCCAGCTACAGCCTTTCTTAAGAACTAAAAATATTGCAGGATAAATACAGAACCGTAAGTAATACTTAAGCAGTAGGTTGACAGCTTAGTGATACATTTTTTATGACAAATTGTTCACGGAAGGCACTTGACATTCCTAACCCCCAATATCCACTCCTCCTGCAATGAGCAAGCAGACACCAGCGACGCTTCCCCTGCGACACCCTCCCTTGGAAGGTGCCGCCGAGTCCTGGGTCCGGGGCTCCGGCCCGCGGGTCCGGGGGCTGCTGGGCCGTTTATTGAACAGGCGGAGCCATCGAGCGCTCTAACGCTCCATGAAATGAAGTTTGTTAGTAGTTTATAGCTCCCGGGCCTTAAATAAAGCCAAGTTATAACCACGGAGACCTCAGAGGGAGAATCGGAAGCCACACACCACAGCGCTGCCTGCGGACGGGGGCCGGGCGGGGAGCTCCCCCAGGCCGGTGAGCGCCCGCCGCCCTCCCCGCCGGGTCCGGGGTCCGGGGTCTGGCCCGGCGGCTCTGGGTCTCTCCTCGCCCACAGGCAGCCTCGCTCCGGCCCAACCTCCCCGCAGCTTTAGGATCCCTTCGCCGGTGCCTCAGTTTCTTCCCGTTTCCAACGGGACTTTTCTTTAAACAGAATGAAGCTGGTCCCCCCCGCGGCCCTCACGTCTGGGGACCGTCTCCCCTCAGCCTGCTTCCCGGCCGGGACCCGCCAGCCCAGCCCGGCCTCACGCCCCGGCCCCTTCCCCGCCAGCCCGTCCTCACCCCGTCCTCACCGCCGTCACCCCGCCGGCCCGTCCGCACCCCGTCCTCACCGCCGGCCCGTCCGCACCCCCGTCCTCACCGCCGTCACCCCGCCGGCCCGTCCGCACCCCCGTCCTCACCGCCGTCACCCCGCCGGCCCGTCCTCACCCCGTCCTCACCGCCGGCCCGTCCGCACCCCCGTCCTCACCGCCGTCACCCCGCCGGCCCGTCCGCACCCCTGTCCTCACCGCCGTCACCCCGCCGGCCCGTCCGCACCCCCGTCCTCACCGCCGTCACCCCGCCGGCCCGTCCGCACCCCCGTCCTCACCGCCGTCACCCCGCCGGCCCGTCCGCACCCCGCCGGCCCCTCGCCCGCCGCTCACCCGCGGACTCCCCGGTGTTGATCCAGTCGGGGTTGGCGATGCTGGCGATGGCGAAGATGTCGGCGGCGAGGAAGAGACATCCTGAGATGATGGTCAGTTTATCCATCTCCCCGCCCCGCTCCCCCCTCCCCCCGAGCCCCGGGCAGGCCGGGCCTCACGCCTCGCGCCCCATGGGCCGCCGCCGGGGCCCGGAGTCCCGCGCCGCTGCCCTCCGCGCGCCCGGGACCAGCAGCCGCGGCGCGGCCCGCACAGCCGGATCCGCCGCCCGCCCCGGAAGTGCTCGGCGCGCCCGCCCCTCGCCCGGAAGCGAAGCCGCGACGCGGACCCCCGGCGTCCTCCGGCCTCGGCGCCCGGGCCGCCGCGCTCCCCCGACCTCTGCCGCGCGGCGCCGGCCCTGCGCGGCTCTGGCCGCCTCGGAGGCCACGCCTTCTTGCCAGTAATAACAACAACACAACAATAATTATTATTATTATGATAATGATAATAATGATGTCGCTCTCGTCGGAAATGACCTCTGGTCACAAGATGCCCTCAGCCTGAGACGCGGGCCGCGGGCGCTGGTCGGCCCCAGCCGCACAGCCCGGTCCCCGTGGGTCCCCCTCCGCGCCGCCTGAACGGAACCCCCGCCCCGCCGCCGGGCCGGGCGCCCCGGGGACGCCGCCGCTCCTCCGAAGCGGACGTCCCGCTGAGACAGCGACGCGCTGGACCTGGTCTTCAGAGGTCGTTTCAGGTGTTGACCTGTGAGCCGGTTGGGGTCGGTCAGAGGGGGGGACCGGGGGTGACGCTGAGGCCGCGGGGCCTGGGGCCTGAGCCCTGATCTGACGGAGAAGCTCGCGCGGCCCGGGCGCGGGCGCGGGCGCGGGGCCCGGGCCGGGCTGGGCCGCGCTGAAGTTGTGTTGTGTTCACGGTGCAGCCGGAGGGTCTCAGCCAGTGAGATCCTATTCAGTCTGCACAGAGTGTAGCCGGGAGGGAAGGAGGGAGGGGCTGCATGGAAGCAGATAGATCAGGTAGCAGACCAAGCAGGCAAGGAGAGAGATGTTGCTTTGAAGCACCAAGCTTGGTAAAAACTGCCGTTTAATATTTTAACCCTGCTGTTTGGCTTCTGTACTCATTTGCTTGCTAAAACAATAGAAAAGTTATTTTGAATTTCTGAACTTATGTATGCTATCCCAATCGATTGAATACTCCATTGATGGTGGTTTGGATATCCACTGATTGTGATCTCACTGGTTATTGAAGCACATTCTCTGGGAACCAGGACAGCTCCACCACCCTAAGTTGCTTCAGTGGCTACAGATAATGCGTTCGGCCCGGGAATCTGGACAGCACAGCTGTTCTAAACTAGAGGCCTGGTGCATGAAATTCATGCATGGGTCTGGTCCCTAGGGCTGGCTAGAGATGGAAGTGTGAGTGTTTGGCGGGGAAGGGCAGGTCCCAGCTGATGTCTGGGACCTGGGAGGCACCTGGGCCCGCTGGCTCCTGTGTGCTCCCCTCTGCCTGAGTCACAGGGCCCTCCACCGGCACTGCTGGGTGCAGTCTTCGGGGCGACTGAGTCCTGCTCACACCTGCCTTGGCCTGGTGTCACCCACTCACCTGCCACAGTCCCACTCTCATCCAGGCCGATTGGGGAGGGCAACGCCTCCACTGTTCCCAGCACCACCATGTTCCACACTGCCTCCTGGTGGTCAGTGCACATGTGCACTGACCACCAGTTGAATGACCGAACTCCCAGTTGAATGACGGCCTGAGGGGACAATTTATATATTACACTTTTATTATATAGCATTGCTTCATGGTGGTCCCAGATAATGTGTTTCTGTTGATTCAGTGATCCGTAGACCCAAAAATTGTAGGTAACTAACTTGCTCAATTTTGCTTCTGTGACTGCTTTGTGCAACCAGGTTCCTCATTCCAGAACCCAAAGATGTAATCGATACCTTTGTGATATTCTGCATCTAAGCTAGATGTGGCAAGCTTTTCAGCGCTGCGAGATCTGGAGTTTTTGCCCCTCGTATGCCACCATAATGACTCCATAATTCGACTTTTTGAGGTGTTCTTTGTGAAATTTGGGTTACAGTGCAACAGCTTTGGCTGGGATGAGAATAGTGAAGATGGAGAAAAACGGACAATTTGGATGTTTCATAGGCAGAGGGAGTGAGTAAGATAATGAGGTTGAAAGAGAGGACTCAGGAGTGACTCCTAAGTGTTCGGAGTAACCAGGTATTTGGTGAACTACTTGGGGCCTTTGGAGAAGCTTAGAGGTAGATCCTCCCTCCCCCCACCTGGTGGGCGGAGTATGATTTTGGCTTCTCACTTAGGTTGGATGGGTAACCAGAAAAAGAGAGAAGAGAGAACACATTTGTTAGCGATCGTTGTCTATCCTATCGTTCTGCAGTCTAGTGGAGATTTCCTTTTTTGTTTCTGTGAGGTTTCCTTTTCTTTCGTGGCTCACAGATCAAATCACCATTAACCTGACTTTGGGTCCAGCTCTTTCTTCCCAGTTACGACCCATGCAGCACCCAAATGAGACACTTTCTTCCCAAATGCCACCTCGCTCTTATCTAGAAAGTCCTAGAAGAGTGACATCTGTTTCTGTGCCCACATGTCCGCAAAACTCAGCACATTTCGAATTCCACCAGATCAAACAGCCTTACTGAAGTGCACAGCGTCCCCAGTGTTGCCTCGTAGGCTGGGAAAGCAGCTCTTTGATGGCTAGCCTGGAGACATTCCTGTTCAGTCCTGGCCCGTGTCCTCAGTTGGTTGAGCATGGTCCCATGTACCAAGAGGACACCAGTAGGATTCCCCATCAGGGCACAGGTCCGGTTGTGGGCCAGGTACCCAGTGGGGGCTGTGCTGGAGGAAGCCCATTGATGTTCCCATATGTTCTCTCATCAATGTTTCTATCTCTTTCCCTTCTTACCTCTAAAATCAATAAAGAACATTTAAAATAATTTAAAAATAGACATTCTTGTTCAAACATTGGTTTCTTAAGGGGAAAGATTTTTTTTTTTTTTTTAAGTGTACCACTTTCCCACTGGCACAAGCTAACTTCTTTATTATAGGAATTCAGATACACATGTCACATTACTGCGGGAGGTCTTCACTTTTTTATTTTAGTTATGGAGAACTTTGATGAAATCGTTGTTGGCCTATTTTCTGGTGTTTCTATTGCCCAGTGATAGAAGAAACTCCAACTGTACAGTTCTGAGTTCTCAATGTGCACTGATACTCACCACTGGAAAGCTGATGAGGATCTCGAGGTGAAATTTTGGAACAGTTTGTCTATCCCAAACCCAACTGAGTGGAATGACTCTTACATTTAGAAAATACAAGTATAGAGAAGAGGCATGTCTGAGAACTGTGTGTGCTGTGGGCCATCAGAGGGCCAAAGTTTTGTTGTGAAGATGGCAGTTTAGTGGCTCCTTGTTTTTCTCTTCAGTGAAAGTGCCCTCTAGGTCAAGCTCAGGATGCAGGCTGCAGGGCCTCCCTACTCACCCACCAGGTCCTGCCTTTCACACATCAAAAGCCACTCAGTGTATGGAAGTCAAGAACTAAAGCACGAAAAGAGACAAAATGGCAGAAGACTAGATGGATGGGTTCTGAGCCTTGCCCCGAAGCAGAAAGAGAGAGCAGCTGAGGGTCACGCTGGGAGTGTTTATTAGCAAGCTAAGAGACAGGCGAACTCCAGGAGAAAGTGGGAGTCTGCTGATCAGGGTGTCCCTGACAGGGAACCACCCACGGTCCCCGCTTACGGGCTTGGATGGGGAAATCTCACCATCTTTAAAGGAAGAGTGGATCTTATCAGAGGCCTGAATACCCACAGACACAGTGACCGCAGAGCAACTGTGAGCCCCAGAATGCTGGTCCCAGGTGGCACGAACACTTGGACTCAAAGGAGCGCTCTACCGAACGACAAAAAGGTCAGATTTCTCGGGGATAGGGAGAGAGAGAACCAGACATCCTGAAAAGAGAGATTATGGGGAGACAAAAAAACAGCTTGCATATGAAAGAAAAGCAGGCATCACCAGAAAAGGAAGTAAACGAATTAGAGGCAAGCAACCTACCAGAGCAAGAATTCAGAGTAATGATCATAAGATGGCTAAAAAGAATGGAAGACAAATTCAACAGTATGAGTAAGAACCAAGAGGAAATGAAGACGAACCAAGAGGAAATGAAAAATGACATCGCTAATGTAAAGAACTCAATAGAAAGCATAAAGAGTAGACTAGAAGAAGCAGAAGACTGCATCAGTGAGCTAGAAGACAAGATTGAAAAAAAAAAATACCCAATTAGAACAGCTTCTGGGAGAAAAAAAATTAAAAAGCAGGAGGAGAGCCTAAGGGAACTTTGGGACAATACAAAACAAAACAATATTAGAATAATAGGGGTTCCAGAAGGAAAGGAAACGGAGGAAGACATGGAAAAAGTATTTCAAGAAATAATGACAGAAAACTTTCCAGAGATAGAGAAGAAAAACCCCACACAAATCCAAGATGCTCGCAGAGTCCCAGGCAAAATGAATCCCAAAAGACCGACTCCAAGGCACATTATAATTAAATTGGCAAACACCAACAACAAAGTAAGAATCTTAAAAGCAGCCAGAGAGAGACAGAAAGTTACCTACAAAGGAACCCCATCAGACTAGCAACTGATTTCTCAACAGAAACTCATCAGGCCAGAAGGCAATGGGATGAAATATACAAAGTCATGCAAAGAAAGGGGCTGAATCCAAGAATACTGTACCCAGCAAGGCTATCAATCAAAATTGAAGGTGAAATCAGGAGCTTCACAGACAAAAAAAAGACTAAAGGAATGTATCACCACCAAACCAGCAATGCAAGAAATGCTAGAGGGTCTACTGTAAAAATAAAGAAATAGGAAGCAAAATAGGAAGTAATATCAGCTCAATAATAACTTTAAATGTAAATGGATTAAATGCTCCAATCAAAAGACATAGGGTAACAAATTGGATAAGAAAACAAGACCCATATATCTGCTGTCTACAAGAAACCCACTTCAGAAAAAAAGACGCACACAGACTGAAGGTGAAGGGATAGAAAAGGTTTTCCAGGGAAACGGAAATGAAAAAAAAGCTGGTGTAGCAATACTTACATTTGACAAATTAGATCTCAAAGTGAAGGACATAACAAGAGATAACAAAGGCCACTTCATAATACTAAAGGGAGCAATCCAACAAGAAGAAATAACCCTGGTAAACATATATGCATCCAATACGGAGCTCCCAAATACATTAAAAAACTGC